AAGATACAACAATGCCAAGATTAAGAGAAGGTCCTGGTCGATTATACTCAGTAAGCTCTTAGAAGAAAAGTTCCTGTAAATAGTACGTAGCCCCTAGTAAAGTACCTAGTAAATTCAGTACACATTCTGGAGATCATCCTCAAACTTTCACGAATTCATTATATCAGGTATTCCAAAAATTTTTAGTAGTTAACCCAAACTGTATCGTTACATTCAGTTAATTAAGCGCGGATAACTAGCGATAAGGCCAAAGTAAGACCCACTGCCAAAGGCTAAACTCAAGTCGACGCAACATAACACAAGACGAGGGGACAATGGTAAGAATGAATGATTTGACATTAAGACAGTCATTCGTGAAAGAATCTGGAACTTTCGAAATGAACACGTCGTCGGTACACGTAGCACAGAGCGCCGACCCAACCGAGGCCAATCGATGAGAGAGTGGGCGTGACAGGACACGCCCACCTACCCGTGATTCCCAGCCGGTCGTCACGCGTTCCATCAGTCCTTATCACTGCGGCTTTTTCTACCTGGTAGGCACATTCTAGAACTAGATAGGGCGCAGTAGGCTGACCGAACTTCAGTCCTAGTGCTGTGGCGATTTAATGGCTTGAAGCTGGGAAAGAAGAGCGCTAGCGGCTTCTGCATTGTCGCCCCCATCCTCGACAGATAACATCTAGGTCAGCAAGATATGCGATTAAGAGCGACAAAAGGATAAGAAATACATGACATTCCTGATGAGTGCGACGTAATAATGAAGAATGGATAAAGCTGAATCGATATGAATTACAAGTGGTAACATCATGAACATCCAAACCCGCTGTTTCACCACGCTAATTTTTTCTGGTCAAAAGGGGAACTTCGGCCTGTTCTGTGGGTTCCGAACTTTGATTCTAGTCTTTTCAATGTTAGGTCAGTGAAATGCACCCAGTTTTTCATTTACGCGATAATCCGCTCATGAACCAAGAGATCCAAATGGTGCGCCATAGCGAAATCGGCGCTGGAAAGGGTGTCGCGTGCACCGCATTCACACCAAAACATTTATTTGTACGTTGGTCAGTCGCCAAAATTAATGCACCGAAAGAGAGAATCCGTCAACCACCATCATTGACATGTAATAGGAGGCCAAAGCACGATATAATAAGGCCCCACTCGTCAAAAAGCATATTCAAAACCAGACCCAACAGCAACTAAATGATTTATAAGATTGAAGAGGCACAAATCACACAGCTAGAGTGATCCTAATGATGTATGAAAAAGGGCGCTATGACCCTAATGAGATAAAAACCATTAAAGCCCTTATTTCTACCTTCGAGCCGCTAATACAACAATAAAGCCTAGTGCTCGAATGAGCGATGTTCAGGACAAAACGTGCGATTGTATATTTGGATAGTGGCGTTCAATTACAGATCTATAGTCGCTAAAAGACATTTCAGCGATGAAAAATGCATAAAAAATGGAGAACACCTCAAAGACCTCCTAGCAGTCTCTTTGAACAAGTCCTTTGAACCCGGTCGTTACATGCCAGCTAAAAGAAATGCTACCGCCTCTGACTCACTAATCGTCTCTCCCGTAATCTAATGCTTATGCCATCTAAAAGTGAAAAAAAAACGAAAAATAAGGTGTAAGAAATGAATCGTGACAGAAAACAGCCCTTGATTTCTGGTGTGCGGGACAACTAGGGGAGTGCCGGAACGTGAGAGACGCAGGGTCTTTATTACTGCTAAGCCGCGAAAGTGGGATAAACTCGTAGACTGTGGGCCAGACTACCTGTACAAAAGAAAGACGAACTCAAATGCCATACGAATATTTGTGGACAGCGGGCGCGCGGTCGCGTCGCGGTCATTGCATGGGTCGCGTTGAATCTGGTGCTAGCAGCTGAGTTTCTTTGGATTTTGCAATTCATGGTGACGTGCTAGAGTGATTACGTTATCATTATCATCAGTGAGGCAGTCGAAGTGAGTGAGCGTTCGTACGCGCAGTTTCCACGGAGTCGCGAACTCCGCAGATCGGGCATAATCTGTAGAGGAAGGATGTGAAGCGTAACCGCTGGAAATTCCGCAGAATATGCGTGTATAAATGTGGCCTGAAGCTTTCTTTACGTGGGTGTCACCACATAATCGCTATTTCTTACCCCGCTTCATATACGCACATTCCAAACACGTTTGCGACATTATGAGCCATATGTAAGAGAAGAACTTAAATGCCATATGACCATTCGTGGACAGCGGGTGGCATACGGACACGCAGATTGTGCGGAATTTCCAGCGGTACTCCTACATCCTTCTTCCAGATTCCGCACGATCTGCAGAGTTCGCGATTCCGCGGAAACTGCGCGTACGAACGCGGCCTCACTGACGATAATGATAACGTAATCACTCTAGCACGTATCACCATGAATTGCAAAATCCAAAGGAACACTCAGCTGACCCCGCCAGATTCAACGCGACCGATTGAATGACCGCGACGCGACCGCTCGCCCGCTGTCCACAAATGTTCGTGTGGCATTTATGTTCTTCCACATGCCAGTGGCCGCGCAGACAATATGTGGCTCATGATCTTTACACCTTTTCTCGGGTTCCGTCAGTTTCTATCGATGCTTTTCTTACATTCTGATGACTTGAAGGGGAACTTACAGAAGGGATGAACAAGAAATATGTTGCCGTCTTCATGATGTATTTTGAATGAAAAGTTGGGCTTCTTTTGATTAGCTTTCTTATAGCTTACGCAGTCTTCTTTGGCATCGAATCTTCTATACAAGGGTAAACTTCTATAGAAGTGTTACTTGACATCCTTATTACAGCACCCTTTTTAGTGCTGGCGTCATATGGCGCCGCTAGCTTTTTTCGTCACTGACTTCGATGTAAACTTCTATACCTAAGTTATTTGGCATCTTTACTACAAATACGTCCTTCTGTGCTTATACAGTGTTATGTCAAGTGGGCGCCAGTGGGCGCCAACTTCTCGCTATCACTTTTTTCGGCAAGAACGGTGCAAACGGGTGCGCACTGCGTCTGACATACTGATAGCAAACATAGCGTTCACTTCCTGCTCCGGCTTCCATAATGAACTCTGAGTGTCTGGGCTCTGCCAAGGCTGAGCGTAGGAGAAGAAATCACGCTGCTGGGCTCAGCTTTAGCAGAACGCTCAGTAGGTGCACCCACACCGCAAAGGTGTGTTGACATGGCCGTCTATAATTCATTGTATATAGGTGAAAAAACAAAATGCTAAAAGAGCCAAGCGCTTACAATATGAAACTTCACGGTCGCACTGAAAAGTAGGTGTCATTGGAGGGGCATGGCTTAACACGTTGACGATGAGACATTTTTCCCATGACTTGCGCGTGGGACGGCACATTTTTCTACATTGAAACTTAGTAATTTCCAAATAAATGAATTACTACGATCAAAATGTATCGAGAAATGCAAGAGACGAGTATACCAATCTCGAATCTTTGACACAATTTAGCTCTTATTGCTCCAATCTTCCAAAATCAGGCCTTTTTTTTACCAACTTCTTCCTCTGGAGGCACGATTGACTGAAAATTTGTCTCCCGTAGTAGCTTGATCTCCCAAAGGACAAGATCGCATCTTTATGAAAAGACAGTGGAACAATCGCGCAGATTTTGAGTTATATAATAACTGTGGGACAGCATTGGGTGACGCCGTTCCACAAGACAAACTTTCTGTCGTCCACCATTGACGGAAATCGTCGTCAACGCGTTAAGTGGACATGATATTCTTGTTCAGGGGGTCGAACTACCGGTAGGGACAAGTTTTCAGGAAATTTGGTGATCTAGGACATTTTGGCGCCGGCGCCTGTGGCGCGGGCGCCAGGCAGTTCGTGCCAAGCGACTGTGGTATTCGTTTCAAAAGGACAAGCTACCCCTAGGGATACGTTTCCAGCGAACTTGGCTGTTCGTACATCTTTATTATTAGAACAATATGGTGGCAGACACCATTGTCTGCCATCGTCGTCAACGTGTTAAGGTGATCGGCTCGCGGTCAAGGATGGTAGGAAAGCACTTCCTGTAGGACTGCTCAATCATTTTGCGAAATTTGCGCCACGGCAAGAAAAGTGACTTGTCTTGTTTACATAACTACTGCAATGGCTGATTTCAGAACATGGAGTCTTTGTCCTGTTCCCTTTGTGGGACTGTTAGGTCATCTTTCAATAATTATTTGCAACACTTGCGTCGTAATCACGGAGATATCGGAGCCCAAACAGCATCGGCCCTAGTGAAAGAGAGAAAGGAAGCAAGAATGGCATTGAAGCAGCACCAGTGCGATTTGTGTAACTTCAGGGGCTCGTCAAAAGATGCCGTGAGAATGCATAAATTTAGGTCTGTTGCATAACCTTAGAGATAATATACTAACATTGTGAAGCGATGTTTTTAAGGAACCATCGGCAGGCTCCACTTCAAAATCCAAACGCAGATGCAACCAGTCAGAAGCAGGGTTTGGCATGCCCCCGATGCTTTGCAAGTATTCCCGATTCAAGAAGCCTCATCGAACATGCTCGTAGGGAGCATAAGTTTCAAGGCAATATTGTGACCCAAGTATTCGATAACCATGCAGACTTTAAGGTGAGCATGAAGTAATGAATGTGCGAAAACAATCTGAAAGACGGATTAAACTGTTTAGATTTGGAAAGAGATGAACGAGCGCCGCACTTTCACATCATGGTCATGTTACGCTTCCCTCTCAAGAAATGGCTATAAGATCAAATATTACAAGTGCAACCGGTGCGCCAATCCGGCCTTAACGAACTTACATTAAATATCGAAAGTCTAAGCTAAGAATATGTTCGCGTTAGCTGTCATCTATCGTTTTGTACATTAGTTTTAGATCGCGCAGGAGAAAGGCCGCGAAAGCCACAAAGAGAAGATGCCACTCTAAAGCAATTCAGACGGCATGCACAGCATTTTTGAAAGTGACTTTTAAGTTGGAAAGTTCAGAAAAGCTGTACATTTGTATGAAAATTCCAAATTAATTTCAGACAGTTGAGAATGAAGCTGTTGGGACAATCGAAGTTGAGTATTGTGACAAGCACCTTGGACATACTATTAGTGGTGCTCTACTACCCTTTGTCTAATAGCGATCGGAGAGAAATCCGTCAGCTGCTCAGGAAAAAGTTCTCTGTCCCTAGTGTCACAAGAGCCATTCGTATGGACCACTCCTCACCTTCTGAACGCCTGTATTGGGTCACATCCACGGATGTTAGAAATACATTAGCAACTATGAAAGTGCTTGATTTTTTGGAAGGTGAGGTATTCCACGTGAAAATCAGAAGTTGGAACATGCAGTGTTTGATATTTCAGAAGGGGAATGAAGAACTTCGCATGAAAACTGGATCTCAGCAAAGTTGGCGGACCTGCTAAGTTGGTTATCCAGAGTTCCTACATGAGTATCTATGGACTTGCAGTGTTGGCGGCCCACTGCCCTTCTGCGCTGACTACCTCTCCACTCATTGCTTCGCAGCTATATCTCTTGTATTACCATGAGTGTTTTTTCACCTTATCGGAGTTTTTTCTTATACACTGTTGATTTGCCTCGATTGTTGTATATAGTCTGCCGATAATAAATCATAATCATAAATTGGAAGTTGAAACATGCAGTGCTTGATGTTTTACAGGGTGAATGAATAGTTTCACATATGTTTCTTCCTCCGTTCGCAAACCGTTAATGGAGTCACTTAGACATGAGCTAATTTAAGTACTTCTTACAAAGAAGGACGCCTACAAACCGCTGCGTATGACAGTCCACGCGCCTGAGCGCCTACTGCTCGAGCGCGTGGACTGTCTTTAACACGTGGCGGACCGCGCGACACACATGTGGTGTTATGAATTTATGCGGTGCTTTACGACTTTCGACTAATTTGGTTCTTCTTTCATATTCTAATGATGTAAAAACACGTTCTCTGCTGCGGAAGATACATGCCTCATGAGCAATCGGAAAGAGAGAGGAAGTGACTGATGAACTACTGAGGAAAAATGATGAAATATTTCCGATATGCTCGCGGTACGGCGGTCCGCAAGGTGTTAACGACGATATCACGGCTCTACTCAAATCATGGGCAACAGGTAGGGATCATGAAAAGGAAGACCCCAATATTAATGTATTTAGGGGGTCGCTGCGCACGCTTCCGCATCTCTTACCTAGCCAGGGCTAAGATCGCAGACGATCCGAGCCGCGCTGAAACTGTCCGCTCTGCAGCTAATATACGGCCGCTCTGCGCTCTAAAATGAGCCTTGACTAGGGAAGAGACGCAGGGGCGCTGTGGACTGGTTCACCTTCCGAAATACGCTTGGGTCGGAAAGGAGCAGCGGTTCAAGCTCTGCCAATTATGAAAACTAGACCACAAACCCGCGAAAAACTTGTGAATAAAGTACAAATCTGAAAAAGACCACGTTCGTAACCCACAAGCAATAACTCGGCAAAAAAAAACTGTGGCGAATTCTATAATATACAAGGAATGAACCTTGACGGGATTTCAAGTGACAGAAACCAGTACAGAGCATAGATTCAAAATTCATTGATAAAAATATATAGAAAGATCATATTGCAATCACTACCTTCATCTCGACGTAATTTCTCCAAATAACATCACTAATATCATGCACCGATGAAAAGAAAGATGTGTAATAAATAATCTTCGTAAAAACGAAACAACAGTATGATGATCAAACCTTGATTTCGAGCAAACTTGAGAAACATATAGTTTCACAGTGTATATCAACACAATCTGAACTGTAACGACTGATGACGAAAATATCACCAAGTAAAGGTAAATGACGCATTCCATGGATCATGAAATAGTAACAAGCTGGTATGAAAAACCAAAAGGCTACTCAATTGCACAACCTTCGACTCGCGTGTACGGTATCTCGGATTTCACTGTACGAGTTTTCGCACGAACTCGCCCGTCCTATACGTGCGCGGACTTCACCGTATCTGATGAGAAGTCTCTAGCACTCAGTATTGTTCGCTGCCACCTTCACAATCAGTGGAGAAAGGGCTGGCGTCGCGCCAAAGCCAGGCATTCCCTCCCTGAAATGCCTCAGGGTGGAGAAAGGGCTGGCATCGCGCCAAATGCACCCCCCCCCCCCTGGAACGCTCCAGCGCCGCGGTAAACAAACTATTCCCCTGCCTTTACCTGCTTCAGTGAAAACCAACAGCAAGACGGCATCACGATGTAACATCATGTTCAATTCTGAGCTAGGGAAAAACAGGATGGTCCACTCTTACAGGACTGAGGAGTGGAAGGTACCTGTTAGACCCATAAATCGAGCCAAATGTCAAGCATTTCTACCAAGAAGACGAGTATAATGAAACTCTTTTCGGTTGGAAGAGAAGAGAGGGATGAGTGTGCGAGCCAAGGGATCCGGGTTGCAGCAGAAACTACGCAACCGCACGTGTGGTGTGATGGGTTACTTTGCGGCCCATTTTTGCATGTGCGCAACACTGCGCAACAAAAGCACGACTTTGTTCGCTTGGGATAAGGGGGCGTGTCCAGCGAGATGGGTTTGGCGCGGCGAAGAATCCATTTTCTACCATTTGTTGAAGCGGGGAAGCGGCTACGGTTGGTGGAAAACGAATGATACAGCCTCGTCGCTTGCGTGCTTCAACAGATGGTAAAACGGGTTCGGCGCCGCGCCAAACCCAACCTTCACGACACGCCCCATCATCTGTAGCAAACGACTGTACAACACACTTCAGTAGCGCCCTTGCATTTCGTATCTCATGACCCGCGCCCACGAAAGGTTCGGAAATTGACGACAACGGACCTCTATCTCGACAACCTCAACTTTCATCTGGGTCCTCTATCTCAAGGACCCAGATGAAAATTACTCGAAATTCATAATTCCTGATAAAAATGTGCCGAGTTCGGGGACTCACAAGTGGCAGCTCGGGCCTTGGGAAAACGAAAACTCGTTCATAAAATCAAGCCTTTCGAAAGTAAACGCGAACCAGCTCCAAGGATGCACAAACCTCAATAAACATATACAATTTGATTATTCTGCCATGACTTCTTCCGCATTTTCTCTACCATCTAAGGCGGGGTCGTAACGCAGTCGGGGCCATCCAGCAACATCCTTCTGCTTCATGATTATTTCTACCTAAAAGGAAATAAAACCGAAAACTTCGAAACATTGGGCGAAAGATTATCATGACCACTGAAAGGGCTCAGAGACACACTTCCCACTGGTCGTATGGGAGGAGGGTGGCTTGTGAACCGTTTCCATTGGTGTGTCCTTCCTCCTACAGCGATGAAAAGAAGGGACGCGCTAATGAAAAAGGCGCAATAATACCCTCTCCGAATGTTACCAAAAGATTGTTTCGTTATGAGCAAAAGCAATGGTCCCAGACGAGAGTCGAACCTGCACCTCCCGCTTTCCGCTTTCCGGGCGAGTGCGCTATCCGTTACGCCACCAGGGCCGCTTTTACCCTCTCAGCTTGACGGCTTTTATGCCAGTAGCCTTACAACGCTCACACGTTCACCGGATGGTGGCATCTCGGACAGCGCACTCACCCGGAAAGCGAGAGGTGCGGGTTCGAGTCTCGCCTGGGTTTCAAGACTTTTGTCCATAACTTAGCATTTTTGCGATAGCTCAGACGATCATCGTGGAATAATCTTTTACGAAGCGCAGAAGAAAGTCTAGAGCTCTAACCTTCCTCTCTCCTACTACTACACGACTTTCGTTGCACACTATTTCACCCCAGAGATCATAAATAAGATCCGTTTCCTTCTTTCCAAAACCATGAACGACATGAAGACGTAACATCTGTCCGTCACTGGTTACTCGAACATCATCGGGAACTGCGCCCTAAATTAAGGCAATATTGATTCTATCATGTTTACAAAAATATAAAAGCTAGCAAAACTCACTTTGCAATACACATTGATTGTGACCGTTCCGTTGCTCGAGAACCAGTCATCTCGAATGTTTTCCACTTTTTCATTCTTAACGAGACCAATATGAAAGGCAAGGCCTTCAAGACCAGAACAGGGGAGACAAAGGAGAAAAAAACTTACCGCACTCCATTGATGCTTCCCTCTTGCACAGCCTTCCTTGCGCCAGGAAAGCGTTGAAATTCGATGTTTTCTTCTCACAGCATGACCAATATTTCATACCTTCATGAAAAATAGCTTGGCCCGGATGATGGATACAGGGTGTTGCGTCCGACTCAGGACCCGAGTACGACTACAAAAAAGGAACAACATGATTACGCGATCACCGACAAATTTTCAGTACTACTATTTGCCCTTTTCTGCTCTTCAGAACTCTCCGCATATTTCTATTGAAATTTGTCGCTATGGGTTGATTCAGCCAGAAATCTATCCCCAGTTGCAGAGAAAAGAGAAAACGCCAGAGAAAACGACATCACGCTGGTACGAAACGTTTGACGCGCGCACTAAGAAACGGTCTTCGGGTTTTTTTCACCGTTGACGGTCCAAGAACGCGTTCATACTTCGCGTCAGCGTTTTGAACGATTAGAAATGTTTAGGAATCGCCAGCGCTTTCAAAGTTTTGACAGTTTAGGCGTTTTGAGCGGTGACGAAACTTTAAGTAGCGATTATCGCTGAAAGCGCTGATGGACGCTTAAAACCATCAAAACGTTGATAGACGTTCAAAACGCTGCCGTAAAGTATGAACGCACTCTAAGAAGCTTTGGCGCTGGTAGCAGTGGCGCCCGTGCAGTTTTCTTTTCCTCGAACAGAACGAAATTTTATCATTCAGCCTAGCTAACTGTGGAACCAATTTCGAGCTGAATCGTCATCCCAGCCGAAACATGGGAAAGTTGAGTGAGAGGCGAATAGTGCCGCATTTTATGAGAATAAACGAAAAAGGTAAAAGCTAGATAAACGTATAAGTTGTTTGTAAATAAGAAAACCTTGTCGCACGCGTTATTCCTACAGGGAGCTCCAATTCGTAGTTCGTTGCTGACCGGATTGTTCCCCTGTTGCTCTCGAAAACGTTGCAGAGCTGCTTGCGCGCCAGGGGTAACATCCATCTGCAGCCAAAGAGCAAAGATCTTTACTACCGCTATGGACCAGGGTTTCAAAAGATTTCTAACGTGTATGCGAAGACCTTACCTTCAAAATGACTTCTTTTCTTTCTTCTTCTGCTTTACGTTCAGCTGGTTTATTCAATCCTTTCCACACGATAACGTCTTCCTCCTCAAAGGAATCTAGATCACATCCAAATATGTTCAAATGTGCACCATTTTGTGCTCGGTCGCGTTCATACTTTGCGACGTTAGAGTATAGAAGTATCGGAGAAAGAGCAAATCGGAATAGTGAGCGCCAAAGAAACGGGTAAGAATCGATCGACTTCTGGCCTCAGCTCTCCTGATCACTAGCGAATAGAGCCAATCGTGCCTCATCTACTCCTTCCTCGTGCATTCCCCCGATGCGTGCTCTCTCCTCTCCTCCTGTTCTCCCCTTTCGCCAGATGAATACTGATAATTTCCTCTGGCGCGTATTCTCCTCAGAGCACGTCATGCTGCTAGAATTTTTTTGCAAATCAGGACCAACGCAACACTTTCCCCTTTAGTGCGACCCCCCCCCCCTTCACCATCTCTCCCGCCCTACTTATTATCTTCCTAGGTTTTTCTTTATGCCTTCCTACCACTTTTCCGGGGAGTTTTTTTTCCAAAATTCATACACTTCTCCCCCAAAAACTGGCGTGGGAACGGGGAGAAGAGATTGAAGGGGGCGTGTAAACCCATGTGATACAGCAAACCGAGAAAAGTTAAAGATCGAAACCGTTTTTCTCGAAGAAAAATACGTTCCCCTAATGGGGTTCTCCCGTGAATGCTATACCCTGGCTGCAAGAATCGATTGAAAGTGGTAGAGCGCGCACTCACAAATTAGCTAGGAGACCCTAGCGCCACCCCAAACGTGAGTGGCGGATTCAGCGGAAGGACCATCCGGCCGTGCTTCTGCGTTCCTTTCCGTAAGGAGGCATAGGTTTGGTAGAGATCAGGTCATGTGGTTAGGGGGGACCAGTTGGCTGCACTTCAGTCTCTTCCAAAAGCTCAGGCTTAGAGCGTAGACGACCAGCGTCGTCGAGGGATAGTTCCGCAGAGAAGACACATTTCCTCTAACGATAAGCCGAATCCCTGACTAGGAGAAGAGATACAAGAGAGCAGAAGCGAGAGGAGAGCAGAAGCGCTGACTGCCTTCCCTCGGGCGCTAACATAGTATGTAAGCGCACGAGATTATATCTTTGGCCACGTTCATAGCTTGCGTTCGTGAAGAAATGCAGAAATGCGGAAAATGCAGAAGTGCGGAATCTGCAGAAATGCAGAAGTGCGGAAAGTGCAGAAGTGCGGAATCTGCAGAAAAGCAATAGATACTTATCGACTTGAAGAAATGCAGAAATGCCGAAACTGCAGAAGTGCGGAAAGTGCAGAAATGACGAAAAGCATTACATATTAGGTTCGTTGCATAAGTTTTTCCCCGACTTTTTCGTAAATATCTCAATAGCGAGCCAACCTAAAGATTAGAGGTATGCACCATCACCATCCACTACTCGACATCAACGCTCGTAAAGCTTGTCGATTCCTTCCTCCCAGAAGTGCGGGGGCTGGGACCTGAAGAAGGCCACAATGCCGCACAATCGCCACTGTGACGTGATTTTTCAGTGGTTATTGTGCGGCACTGTGGCCTGCAAATGCAGGGTGGGTGAGTGATAGCCAGTATGATGAAAGAGTATCAAGTACACGTCACGCACACGTGATGACGGAATACCAACTTCCATGCGAACGAAATACGGAGGGATCAAAACAGGGAGGAAAAGACTTATGCAACAACCTAATACGTATCGATCTGAAGAAATGCAGAAATGCCGAAAGTGAAGAAATGCGGAATCTGCAGAAATGCCGAAAGTGAAGAAGTGCGGAATGTGCAGACATGCGGAATCTGCAGAAATGACGAAAAGCAATTCATACGTATCGATTTTCCGCACTTTCGGCATTTCTGCAGATTCCGCACTTCTTCACTTTCGGCATTTCTGCATTTCTTCAGATCGATACGTATGTAATGCTTTTCGTCATTTCTGCACTTTCCGCACTTCTGCAGTTTCGGCATTTCTGCAGATTCCGCATTTCTTCACTTTCGGCATTTCTGCATTTCTTCAAATCGATACGTATGTAATGCTTTTCGTCATTTCTGCAGATTCCGCATTTCTTCAGGGACGCAAGCTATGAACGCGGCCTTTTTTACAAGGCTCGACGATTCTAGTCGTCTGACCTCTCAGCCAAAGACATGGTCAGGGGAATGGACGCAAAGAAACGACCTGGAGTCAACCTAGGTTCATGCCTTGCGACAGTGAAGAATAGACGAAAGGGACAAGATACGTATCGATCCGTTCCGTAATTCGCCAGTTCTAACTTCGTCAATCCTTCAACTCTTCAGATCGATACGTATCTAATCCTTTTCATCACTTCTCCACTGTGACAACGTAAGAACGCGCATTTGGATTTCTATTTCAGTGAGGGATCAATCACTTTGAAGACTATGAATCCTCTTTCTCCACATCACATGCTCCTTCCTTAGAACCATATCCAATCGCAGCTTGCACTACACCCACCTTTTCTGGTCGAATTTCCTTCACAGCGGCCACTTTAACGATGTCAGCAGGTTTTTCTCCATTGTGCTTTCCACGAGTACATCCCGGAAAGTTGAGCCATGTGCCGAAGTCGGTGCTCTTCTTGTTACAACAGTTCCAAATCTTATAAGCATCGTGGAAGTATGGAGGACCAGGATGGTATAAACATGAATCTGAAAGAGAAATACTCGGGATATGATAGCAGACAAAGTGTCAAAGAGTGGTCGGAAATAAATCACCTGTGTTATTGGCTTGTGGGTCAAATTTTTGCCCACAACCCTTGTTATAGCACTGAATCAAGTTGTCCTCGCTAGAAGACGACTCGGCAGGCATAACCTGCAATATTGGGTTAAAAAATACGACTTTTGCTCCATTCAGTAACCGTAATCTTTTTCGAGCACGAAATAACTTCAGAATTATATAAAGGTCACAAGCGAATAACAAAATGATGAACAGGGTGAAGGGAACGGAGAATGCACCAAACACTGACAGAAAAGTGAAGAATTCGCGAGAATTCTGGCTAATACTTCCGCAAAGAGTGCGAAGAATAACAATACATCAATTGTCCATTTCATATGAAAGGTAGGAGGCAATTTATCACATAATGCAAGCTTGAAAAGTCGTCTTCAGCTACAATTCAAGTGCTAAACGAATGAAACAGTGAGAAATTTCGAGAAATCTTAGTAAAGTTGTGCAAATCGGCGTGGCGTTGTTACAGATAACGTGTTTAATCCGACGTCTAGAACGAAACCGTAGCCGCGTGAACAGCTGGTTGTGATGTGTTGGAGGAAGATCAGGTGCTAATATTAGACTGCAGCATCGTGATGTTTGTGAAATGAGACGTCAACACAACACAAACCCCACTCCCCCCTCGCCAAGTTTCCTCTTCAGTGCGTCCTTGCCATTTTCCTAGTTTTAGTTTCATTCTTACCAACTTTCTCAGTTTTCCAAGGAATTCTCCTCATAAAAATCCTTCTTAAAAAATTTCTCCTCCTTAAAATCCTTAGAATCTTCATAAAAAATCTTCTGCGGCGACGGAGAAGGTCGCCAATCAACTTCCAAAATCAACTATCGAACAGTGGTTGTGTAGTGGTTCTACGGCACTACGGGGGCAAGGCAGAAAGTGGGTCCGGAACGTAAAACAGAAAAAATGGAAAGTCGAAAGTTGGAAAATGTTTTCTCATCGGAGAGGCTTTAAGAACTTTTTGAGCAAAGGTATTATCGCCACCCGGGTGATACCTTACAGAGGATAGATACCTTACTTGATTCACAACCCCGGAACTCCCTCCACCTTAGTCTTGAGCAGAAGGGAATAAAAGGACAACTTCAACATAATCTTTTTCCCGTTCTTCTTTACACCTTTTCGTCCACATGGCGATCCATGGCCGATCAGGGCACATCATTAGTTGGGAATTTTAGTCGAGTCCGTACGAACCCCCCTCCGCCTCCGGCCTCTGTCTCTCGCTCATCCGAAACATGATGATTCGAGGCTGTCGAGTGGGGGGAGGGGGGGGGGTTAGTACCATGAACAGGAGAAGCCTGACAAATAACCACCCACTCCACAGCAGTGCACTACACAGACCCACCACTCCTTAGAAGGCAGAAGTGCAAACGGGATCCTACCCTTTTCACCTATCGTGAAGAAAAAATCAACTATTCAATGAATGTTTCAGCCCAAATACGACACCCTTTCTCTGGCGACAAATACGACCCGTCCTGTCTCTGTCGGGGATTTCACTCAACAACGATGTCGGTTGTGGCCGATGTGACCTTGCAAATTATAGGTTTTCGCGCACGATGTGTGGGTCACCTACCACGGGAATGCTCTCTCTGTGAAAGAGCCTCCTGTGGCCTCGCCATATGCCTTGTGCACCCAGGCGATGCGGGTTTGACAACAGTCCTATTGTCTCTTTCTGAGTTGCGTTCTATTTGTTTGCTGGCTTACTGAAGCGCGATGTCGTCAATTACAATGTCTTGTGGGGCTGATCGTTAAGCGAGCCAGTGTTCTTATCCTCCCAGAGCCTAAACTAACCTAGTCACCATCCCCGGAGGATAGGAGGTTGGCTTGGGGGGCCCAGTGGGGACTTTGATCCCAGAGCAGTGCAGCGGTAGGCGTGGGTGTCAGCTTTGCCATTGCCAACCACTTCACCCTCCTCGCCGGTGGTTAAATGAAAATGGTTTCCCGTGTTGCAACCCTCTTTGGTAATGTTCCTTGACGATGATAGCTATCGGAACGTCCTTGTCATTAGAGGAAATTCCGCACAGAACACTCTTTCTTCTCTTTGTTGGACAGCACCATACCCCTCCGATCCTTCCTCTGATTATTTCGGATTCTTCTTCTTGCCCAAGGCTGGATTTTTTTCGAAAAATCTGCTAGTTTTTTTCCTTCCTTCCTACGGAGCCGAAGGCGACTGTCGCTAGAGGGAGGTGGTGTGGAGGGGTGGGTGGCATCATATGGTGGGTAATTTCAGATCGAGTCTGGTACGCAACCCCCCCAACTTATTTTAGGGGTTTGATCCGACCGTCGCTCACCTCTCATATGAATCGAGCGCCGTCGATGGAGGAGGGGGTAAATAGTGCATGGCTGAAAGGAAAAGCTGCGGGAACGATAACGACCCTCTCCCACCTTCTACCAATTTCAGAATTCTCCTCAACTTCTTGGACCTCTTTTCCAAAATTTCTGAAAAGTTCCTATCTTTTCCCCAGAATTTCGCTGTCGAGGAGAGCAGAGAGGGGGGGGAAGGTGGGGGAGGCGGTTGTTATAATACTAAGACATGAAACCGAGACATCAAGAGTCTACACAGCTCTTACACACAGCCAAAAAGTAAATAGCCCACGCCTCCAACAATGACAAGTACCACTTTTACCACGTCGAAAGCGAGAAAAATCAACAGCTCAATAAAATTTTTCCCAGACTCCCATTCGACCCCCCCCCCCCCCTTTGGTAAAGATTTCGCCCACCCACGATCGTCCTGAGCGGATGGAGGGGTTAGAGGTATGCTATAGTGAGAATAGAAAAACAGGAGAAAAGTACAACAACCTTTCTCAGTCTCTCAGAGACCTCAGGAAGAAGTTAGACCCCCGCCCCCTTCTGAGCACGCGAGCAAATGGACCCTCTCCCTACCCCTATATGGCGCCGGTGAATGAAGAAAAATCAACTATCAAATTTTTTTTCTCAGACCAATTACGACCCCCTCCCCCTGTTTGTTGGGGTATCCCCAACAATGACGTGCCCTGGAGGTGTGTGGATTGAGAATATATAGCGTACCTGAAACAGGAAAACCAAAAAAGTCCACTACTGAAAGCATTTCATTCAGAAGCAGGAACAATTCTCTCCCTCTAGCGACCAAACACTACCCTTTCCCGCGGTGAAATCTTCACTACGACCTGCTTAGGTAAATATACACCCACATCAGACAACGCCCATGAATCACCATTCTGATAAATGCGGTCTTTAGGTCAAGGGATTGTGTTTTGTTGTTGGTGATTGGTGACGACCTACTAGCAGCTGATCGCTTGACCCTTATCAATAGGTGATGATCGGTGTTGACGTGATTCACGTGGTTATATTCTACTTGTCCCTTCTCTAACAGAGTTCAGAAAAAGTTCTGTAAGTACTTCTAGACATTACTTTGACATTCATTACGGAATTTTCGATAAACGAGGAGTCTATGAGCAGGCTGGCTCATAGATATCAGATGGTTCCGAATCACCTCTTCCAGCGAGATGACATTCGCAGGGCACGTTGTACCCTGTGGAATCCCTAGCGGGAGGTCTTGGAGGGAGGTGATTCCTGTGGAAAGTTTGTTTGATAGTTAATTTTTCCTGTCTCACGCGCAAACCGCCCCGTGGGAGATCACCATTAAGGGAGGGGGATCGCATTAGCTGGTCGTTGAGATGGGAGGCTTAGGATTTTTCCGTTTCCGAAAAACTTTCTAGTTGTTGTTTTTTCTGGTTTTTCCCGTTTCAGTTCTGTCTTGAGTGTAGAATTCTGCAACCGGTTCACAACAGTGTTGACTCATATGAAGACAAAGTCCTCACTGATCGTAGGGGTGGAGTCAGGCGGTCCACTGCTCCTTGCTTACTGGTCCCCTCCTCCTTGTGAAGTGGGATGGAATAGGCACAGGTTGGGCACACTTTAATGGTAGGTCCGACCCCGCCCATGCAATCAGCGTACAAAGTGACTTTAGGTCGTCGGGGCGGCTGCATTTAAAGACTTTTTCGAGTATCTAAGGCCTCTTATGAGCGCCCTCAATACTACTAGGTATTTGACAAGTACCATTTCAGAGCGATAAGTTTCGTGGTCGCAGTGACTCGAGGCTTTCGTAACTAAAACAACTTTGTTGTCCCGATTCCTTGTGCTTTCTTATCGTCGAAGGTGGTGATAAGCTTTTATGCCTCGTCACTTTTCTGGTGGGGTTATCAGCACCAGGCATCACCTTTGTGACTTCCATCCAATCGTACTACAAAACAAGCAACTAGCAATTAGAGTGATGCATAAAAGTGACGTGTTACCCTAAGCAAGTTGGGCAGCTTTCGAAAGTGTAACTTCTCTGCCATGTGTTTCCATGTTACCTTCGGATCATACAAGTCCCACGGGTGGTGGTTTTTAGCCACGCCCCTGCGCCACTATTATTCTCTGGAAGGTTTTCTAGTTAACCCCTAAAGTCACCTGGATAATATAGCGAAGTTTATTGGTGATGACTGAGCAAATAGGTCCTTATCAAAGGCGATCGTCACCCCAAACATAGACATCCTTCCCCTAAAACAAATATCGGCTGGTTTTTGAAAGGCTGGATTTTTTTTTCTTCGGGAAAAAACACGTGACGTTCCAGAACT